GCCTCTCAGAAGAAAGCCTGCCCTGACAGGAAACAGATCAAGAGTGGGAAACAGCTGAATTCTCAGAGATAACAGATGGTTCATGTGTGTGCCTTTACTCAAACCCATTGTCCCTGAACTCTCCAGCTGCTGATCACCCAGCCCATTCCTCCTGGGCTTTCTAACTCATTCTTCTCACAGTCCTTCCACCAGGACTCTGCCCAGCCCCATTTCCAGGCTGTGGGGTTACATTTTGTGTCTTAGGGAGATGATTTTCTTCACAGTCCTGTGGCTGAACCCCAGGGGAGCCCACTTCTGGCCAAGCAAATACCCTGTTTATCTTCTTGTGTCCTTCTGTCTGTCCCTTCCCCCACCTCCTCTGCTTTTGGTATTTGGAGAACTAAAGAGCTCCTTAGTAAGGCAGAGACAAACCTTTGTCCTGTCCTCACTGGCCCCTCAGAAGCAGTCTGCAGTCCTTCTTCCAGAGCCCTTGTGCCAGAGCTGCTACTGAGGCCCAGACGTCCCTCTCCTGGGCAGCTTTCTGCAACAGCTGTGCAGAGAGACCCGTCGGCCCCCAGTGGAACTAACCACTGCCGGGATTGAGAACAGCTCAGGGGGCCTCCTCCTGACTGGAGGGCACCAGGGTTGCCTTCATTGGCTGCGCTGTGTTTTGCAGGTTTCCTAAGCACGTTCCATTTCTCCTTGGTAAGGCTAACCTCACTAGATCCTGTGTCTGTTCCCGGACATCACTAGCAGTGAGAGCCCTTCACTGAGTCTCACCCGTAAGTACTGTTTGCAAGTCCACTGCTTTGGGATTACTAACAATGGTGTGGTCCCCCCATCACAACAGGACAGGTGGTGCCAAGAGCCTGGCACATAACTGGGACTCAGTGTTCAAAATCAGACAGGCCAGGTTTTAATGAAAATCTCCACCCATTCTTCTAACTTTGGGATTTTAGGCAAATTTTTTTTTAACCTCACTGAGTCTCAGTTTCCTCATCTATCACTCATTTCATGGGGTTATTTTGAGGGAAAGAGTAAAATGCGTGGCATAGTGTAATTACTGTTAAACGAGCTCTTCCATTTCCTTTTTGGACTAGGAGGTGGTCAGAACCCCAGGCATGGCCCAGGGGCTCCTGAGCCCTCCCTTTGTAGCTTAAGGAGCAGTTAGGATGCAGGGACTCAGGACAGCACCCTGCCAGGAGAGACCTAAGGGCCCAGGCAGGCTTTTTTCTTTGGTCAAGGGGAGAAGCGGCTAGTGCCAGGGCAAAACGGGGGTCTTTGGTAGGAAGAGGCACCCAGATACCGCCGGGAAGAATGTGAAGTCTAACTGCTTTGTAGCAAGTCTACAAAGAAACTTTGGAATTATAACATGTAGCCTTCATAAAAGAAAAGTGAACTTCTCCTTGAAGAAAACGAATTGTGACAGGGGTAAAAAGGAAAATCGACTCCAAATGGGATCATGTTTTATTCAGGGTTTGTGCTGCCAGCGGGGAAGGCCAGAACTCGGTGACAGGATGGGAAAGTGGGACACCCCAACTTCAGGACTCATCCGCTCTGCCACAAAGTGCTTCTCGCTCCGCTGAGCGCAGCTCCTGGAGACCTCTAATGGCCCTTGATAACAAACATAGTTAAAAATTAACAGACTGACAAAATTAAATATGGATGACAAGCAACCACTGTGGACTTAATCTGACACAGGGTGTTACACGCTTGGGTGCCCTCGACCTGAGTGGTGTCTTGAGTGAACTTCTGCGATGTCTGAGCACATTTCACATGCCTGACAGGGAAAGAGTCGCTCAGGAGAGAAAATTATCCCTACAGGTGTATGTTTAATTAAGCCCAGCCTTGAGTGGTCTTAGCAAGAGGTGTTCACAGGCCTGGGGCCTTGTTTTGGGGTGTAGACCAGGTGCTGCCTGGTCTCGGACCTCAGCCACATCTCCCCACGAAGACTGGGAGGCCATGTTGGGTCACAGGGCTGTGCTGGAACAGGGCCTTCTCCCGCCAGGACTTGCTTGCTCGCCTCCTTCCCAGCTGCTGGGATGGGTCAGATGGCAGACCTCACCTTTGGACTAGTTCACGTAAATCTTGACGTTCTGCCTAGGTAATGGAAACTTGTCTCGTTACCCTAGGCAAGGAAGATTAGGTGTTAAGTAAGTAGCAGAGAAAGCTGATTGCATTTCGTGTCTGCATCTAAGAAAGAGAAAGAGTATGAGTGGAGGGGGGTGTTCCTTTAGAGAGTAATCCTCATGGGTCTCATTTCTTGAAGGAGAGAAATTCCTGAAAAGTGTTCTTCCAGTTGTGGCGAATGCTTTATTAGAAATGGGGATGGTTGCTATTTAAAAGAGCTCTGTAATTAGTCCCATAAAGAGGATGATTTTTGTGTGTGTGTGCTGCAAATCATCACTCCAGTCTATTTGGTGAGTTTGGAGTTTCTTGGACCAGAGTATGATTCTGGCTTGGCGGCCTCTCCTCAGCCTGGCAGCCCTCAACAGAGTTCGCTGTGGGACCTGACCTGCTTTATTTGGTGATCCTGCTGAAGAGCAGATCCTTAGATCTGAAGTCGCTCGGAGTTGATTATGATTAAATAATGTGTGAGTGGCTGGTGGCCGTTGGCTCAATGCTGGGAAGGCCCTGGCAGGATATCTTGGGGACAGTGGTAGAAACCTGCCTAAGAATATCCATGCCTTAAAAAGGAGAGAGAGCTTGGTTCTGAATATGGTGCTGGGAAGTCTGCTTTCTGGTAGAGCACCTGCATTAGGAGAGGTAAGAGCATCTTCGTGCTCCTCGTAGATTAGACATCCAGGGTGCCAGCTGGTCGGGCAGTCTTCCAGTTCTAATTAGTTCCATTACGAGCTGGGACCTTGGATGTCATGTTGGCGTGCCTCAGCCTCCTGGATCCATGTCTCCGCTGGAAGGGGCATTCCAGACCAACATTTCTCAACACCTACAGGTATTAATAGCTGTTATATAATAAAAAAGATTCTGTGGTCGGGTAGACTTGGGAATGCCAGGGTTGACTCAAGGCAAGCAGCTTCTCAGAGCCTGTAATGTACTCAGGGGTGTCTAGAAGCTGCTGAGGCTGCATTTTTCTCAAACATACTCCACTCTAGAGCATCTCCTCTTCTGTTCACATTTTTGGAAACCTCATTCAAGAGCAGTGTCTCAAATGTGAGCATATATGTGCGTCTTCATCACCTGGAGGGCTTGTGAAATGCAGATCCCTGGGCTCTACCCTTCAGTTTCTGCGTTTCTGACATGTCTCCAGGTGCTGATGGTCAGGGGCCACACTGAGAACCACTGGTCTAGATTTATCCCTTTATTCCACAGAGAAGGAAGTAGCTACCCTAAGGGATATTTGTTAATATTAGCTGCTGTGAATTGAGCCAGCTTCCTAATGAGCTCTTCTGTTTCTAAAGGCACGTGGGATGATGGGCCTCGGTTACTAGGAAGGGGAGAGTATAATTGCAAATAATGACTCTCGGTGCTTTCCACTGTGCTGCTGGAAAACCGCTGTAGCAGGGCTGGAGGATAAGGCAGGGCATCCAGCCTGGAGCCCAGTCAAGGTCTTCCTGGCCTTGGCAACACTACTGGGAATGTGAAGTCTGTATGTATTTTAATCCTCTGGGCCTTATTTTCCTCATCTATAAATGGAAGAGGATGGCAATTATTTTTATGGATACCTAGTCCTCTGTCTGGCATTCCACTTTATTTTTGCTCTGGGTTATTTCTTTTTCCGGGTGCTCTCCTGTCCAGTCTGTCACCAGTCACAGGAGTCACTGGTCCCATGCTGAGGTGCTGGAGATTTCAGTGTGACCCTTGCAGGGCCACTGCATTTGAGAGTGTTCCTGAGGAAGTGCGATAGTGGACTCCCGGACAGTGTGGCCCCTGCACAGTGAATTTTAACAGTTATAACTGTCAGCATTACTAAGTTCTAGCAGAGACGCGGCCCGGGTCTTCTGTGGGGTTTGTTGACCTATATGTCACAATCTGTGTGATGTGCTTAGCAGTCTCTGGCACATATATGTAACGTTAAGAGGTTCTTAGGGGACTTCAGAAGCTCCCAGCATTGCATGCAAGGTTGTGAGCGTGCAGTTGTGTATCTGTGATTGAGTACACGTGCATTTTTCTGCAGACAGGACCACTGCATTACAAGGAAGGTCACCCATGTAGACTTAATGCCTGCTGGATTGTTCCTGGAGCCGGAGTCAGGGAACCATAGTTTCCTTGGTGTTTGCGATGCACCTAAAGCAGCCCCTAGGCAATGGTCAGAGTGGCCACGAGTGACCTCAGGCCAAAAACAACAGCAGAACAGGTGGCCTTTTTCTTTTTCCTGGAGAACCACAGGGATGAGCACCAAAGAGCTTGTTCCCTGGGGTTGGCTGCCTGGGCTAAGGTGTGTCCCTGGGAGCTCAGCTCACTGCCCTCTGCTGGCAGGTGGGTGCAGCTGCGCCTCTCAGAGTTGGAGGGAGGCAGCCTTGGGAGTCTGGGACGTGGTGAGCAGTGTGTCTTAGCCTTGGGGCACCAGAGGGATGGATTTCAGGGCCTGCTTTTACTCCATTGCCACGACATCCTCCCTGAGAATCATCCAGCAGGCTGAATTCACCCTAGCTCAGAATCCACCTGTCACCTGGATTGCTCAGGTCATGTGGCTCAGGCTGACTGCCGTGCTCTGACCCCGCACTACAGGCGCATGTGCACCTGAGAGAGCTCGAGGGCTGTGTGCAGGGGACCAGGCGCGGGTGCGGGAGAGGCAGGCACAGAGGCTGGAGTGGGTGCCGGGAGGTGAGGGCCTTCCTTCTCGCAGTCACCTTCACCAAAGCAGGAATCATGCCATCCACTCTGTGCTCTCCCCTCCCCGATCAGCCTCCCTCTCCCCGCGTCTCCTCTGTGAAACACCAACGTGTCTTGGCCTCCTTGGGCTCAGCGCCCCAGCCCCACACCCAGGCAGCACCAGCCGCCACACTGCGCTCCCCCGACCCTGACGCACTCGGACCCATCCCCTTCCACTGTGTGTTTAGGTTCCCAGCCCCACACCTGCCACAGGGCTGTGCCCCGGGCCCATCCTTTACCTCCTGTCTCAGGAAGGCAGCTCCAACTCTGCCCTTTGCTTAGTGAGCAAGTGGACTCAGATGCACAAAGCCATAAGCCATGGGTAGGTATGAGTTTTTCTTTGAGTCTGTTTCTCTGTTTTCCTCCCCTCCCTTCTGCCCTCTCCCTCTCTGCCCTTGTACTCGACCCTCTCTCACCCTTTCCATCCTCCTGCCTCCCACATTTCCCCTCTTTATTTCTCTTCTTTGTCCTGCATACCCACCCCTAATTCCCAGGGTGACATGTTTTTAGCCTATCTGCTTGTGATATTTTTGGTCCCTTGTCTTCAAAATTACCATGAGGGTGGAAACAGCTCTGGCTCAGCCTTAAATGAGCTTCAGTACCTCCCGAGGAATACAGCTCTGCCCTCTCAGAATATGGGGGCCCCACTCTGGCTGGTAGTCTGATTTCTAGTAATACCTGATGTGCTCCTCTGGTGAGACTAACGCACAGCTGGCCCAAGGTGTGGAGCCCCAGTGAGGCAGAAGCTCAAAATACATCCTTGGTCCTTTAAAGCCCCTATTTCCTAGATGAGTGAGGCCAGAGTCCCCCAGGTGGCCCCTCACGGTGCAGTAACAGCCACTCCATGAAGGAGGCCCACAGGGTAGAAGAGAACTCCGGGGACTTCTGCACCTGGACCAGGGGACAGCCCCCGGGGGTACTGTGTGGGCTCTCTAGGACTCACTCCTAGACAGCCCCGCTCTTAGAATCAAGTCAGAACTAGTGGGGGCTCAGCTCTGGATTCTGACCAGCCCTGACCCCACTGGGTTCTATGACCATAGTGGACGTCATTCAGAATACCCAGACCTCAACTGACTTCCCCTCCTGGACAAATCAGGTAAGCAGAGGCAGAAGGTCTCCGTCAGTGCCTCAGGGCCCTTGCGTCTCCGTTTCAGCCAGATTGCTGCTTCATCTGTTTATGCTTTGGAGACAGTAGTAACATCCCTCGAGAAGAAAGTGGTGTGCTACAGAATTTACTAAACCACTGACGTTGACTGTTGGGCTAAAATTCCTCCTAGCATTGCATTCTACTCCAGAAAGGTTTTGACCTGACTGGTTTGGACCAAACCCAGATAAGGAGCAGTCTCTCTCCTGCCATGCTGGGGAGGATGCCGCCTCCTCGCGGGGCCAGCCGGCCCTCTGCTATGCAGCCTCCCCTTGGCTGTAATTTGCTTGCCCTCCCTGTTCCCAGCACTGCTGCCTGTGCCGCTCATCGGCTGGGGGAGGCCGTCCCTCCTCAGTGTCAGCGGAAGCAGCAGTAAACAGGCACGTCCTGCCTGTCTGAAGGCAGGGCTGATGGTGCCAGTAGACGGACTTCTGTTAGAGCCAAAGTGCACTTGTCCTTTTGTTTCTTCTTTCACATATTCCTCAGTGTGGGACGGGGAACAGCCTGCCAGGTACACAAAGCATCACAGGGCCCCAGACACCCCAGTGCCAAGAGGCCAGGATGGAGCAGAATCTCACAGCCAGGAGTCCTGGCCAGACCCGCAGTGTGGATGGTGTCATGACCGTCCCTTTGTTAAAGCAGATACATGTTTCTACATCCTGCTTAGAAAACCATTAGGCAGCCTGTCCCCTGGCCTAGGTGTTGCCGAATGGGTGTGGAAAAGGGGGCTGGGCCAGATTTCAGCCCAGCATGAGCTGGTAACAGGAGGGTGGGAGCAAGGGAGCTGCCGGGCCTTGGGCGCTCTCTTGAGATGGGGTCCTATATTCAAAAAGGGGTTCGGGGGATTTCTCACGATGCTGCACTGACACTTTTCAGCCCCTGGGAGTTGAGCTGCCCGCAGTCAAGGCTGAAGGGGCACCGTCTTGTCTCGGAACAGCGTAGAGGGCAACATCCCGGCAGGATGCCCAGTGAGGAATGGGATGTCCCCGGGGAGCCCTGGTTCACAGCCTTCTCCCCACATGTCTTTCCAGATGCGCTGGCTCCCTCCCTCCGAGGCTACTTCTCAGGGCTGGAAGTCCCGTCAGTTCTGCTGAATACTGTGTAAGTACGCAATAAGGTTCAATGAGAACTGGGTCCGGTGTGTGGACAAGCCCAGGCCAGGGTGAGATTTGGCCAATGGCAGCTGTCGCCCTGCCTCAGCACCCACACCTTCTGCCCCTCCTGGGGTCGTCCGAGGGCCCTGCACTCGTCGGAAGAACTGCTTTGTGTGTCTCTTCCAAGAGGCTTTCACTTGGGACTGACAGAGATGTGAGGGATGCCACTGGTCTGAGCCTAACTTAGGAAACTGGATCCTGGACTTCCCGCTTTATTAAATAAGCAGTTTGTGCTAGTTTCTGTAGAAACAGGTGTCAGAAAATTACGTGATTATAGTTCACCTGCTGCCAATGTTGAAGACAAACCTTCCTCAAGTTACAAGCGTGAGTAATCTACTCACATACGTAGTGCTTCAGTGTGGGAGCCTCAGATTGCCCGCACTGACTTCCCTGCACACCTGTGTGTATGTTAGAACTTTGGAGAGGTTCTCATCTTCCCGAAACACCTAATGTTTCTCCTGAAGGCAGACTGTGCTGTTTACCGTAGGCTTTCCTTCAATTTTCTTGAGGGAAGCAATATCCTACATTGGCATCTTTGTGCCATTTTATCATAGGCCTAACCTTGCTTCAGAGAACTACCTAATGATTTTTTTTCCCTAGGAATGTAGAATTTCTGTAAAATCCCAAACGCATTCTTTAATTCAGTGTCTTGCCCGAGTTTCAGTTAAGTACAAAACACTGGGTTTTTTTGTTTGTTTTTATTATTGAAGTACCACCCGTTACAAAGTGTCAATTCCTGGTGTACAGCATAATGTCTCAGTCATGCATATACATACGTATATTCGTTTTCACTTTTTTCATTAAAGGTTATTATGAGATATTGAACATGGTTCCCTGTGCTATACAGCAGAAACTTTTTAACCTGTTTTTATATATAGTGGCTAACATTTGTAAATCTCAAACTCCCGAATTTATCCCTTCCCAGCCCTTGTCCAATAACTGTAAGATTATTTACTATGCAAGTCTGTTTCTGTTTTGTAGATGAGTTCATAGTGTCCTTTTCTTCCTTTTTGATTCCACGTGAGTGATATCATATGGTATTTTTCTTTCTCTTTCTGGCTTACTTCACTTAGAATGACAATTTCCAGGTCCTTCCATGTTGCTGCAAATAGCATTGTTTTATACTTTTTTATGGCTGAGTAGTAATCCATTGTATAAACATACCACAACTTCTTTATCCAGTCATCTGTCAATGGACATTTAGGTTGTTTCAATGTCTTGCCTATTGTAAATAGTGCTGCTCTGAACATTGGGTGCATGTATCTTCTTGAATTAAGGTTCCCTCTGGATATATGCCCAGGAGTGGGATTGCTGGATCATGTGGTAAGTCTTTATTTTTAGTTTTTTGAGGAATCTCCATACTGTTTTCTATAATGGCTGCACCAAACCCTATTCCCACCGGCAGTGTAGGAGGGTTTCCTTTTCTCCACAGCCTCTCCAGCGTTTATCTTTGGTGGACTTTTTAATGATGGCCATTCTGACTGGTGTGAGGTGATACCTCATTATAGTTTTGATTTGCATTTATGCATATTGGCCATTCATACGTCTTCACTGGAGAATTGCTTGTTTAGGTCTTCTGTCCATTTTTGGATTGAGGTTTCTTTTGTTAGTAAGTTGTATGAGCTGCTTATATATTCTGGAAATTAAGCCTTTGTCAGCTGCATCATTTGCAAATATTTTTTCCCATTCCATAGGTTGTCACTGTTTTGTTTGTTTCTTTTGCTGTGCAAAAGCTTACTAAGTTTCATTCAGTCCCATTTGTTAATTTTTGCTTTTATTTCTATTGCCTGGGTAGACTGCCCTAGGAGACATTGCTAAGATTTGTCAGAAAATGTTTTGTCTGTTTTCTAGGAAATTTATCGTGTCTTTAAGCCATTTTGAGTTTATTTTTGTGTATGGAGTGAAGGAGTGTTCTAACTTCATTGATTTACATGCTTCTATCCAGTTTTCCCAGCACCACTTGCTGAAGAGACTGTCTTTTCTCCATTGTATGTTCTTGCCTCCTTTGTCGAAGATTAATTGACCATAGGTGTGTGGGTTTATTTCTGGGCTCTCTGTTCTGTTCCACTGATCCATATGTCTGTTTTTATGCCAATACCATGCTGTTTTGATTACTACAGCTCTGTAGTATTGTCTAAAGTCTGGGAGGGTTATTTCTCCAGCTTCGTTCTATTTCTTCATTATTGCAATTCTGGGTCTTCTGTGATTCCATATAAATTCTAGGATTGTCTGTTCTAGCTCAGTGAAAAATATGGTGGGTAATTTGATAGGGATCACATTAAATCTGTAGATTGCCTTCAGCATTATGGGTATTTTAACAATATTGATTCCTCTAATTCAAAAGCATGGGATATCTTTCCATTTCTTTAAGCCATCTTTAATTTCCTTAATCAATGTTTTGTAGTTCTCCATGTTTATGTCTTTCACCTCCTTGGTGAGATTTATTCCTAAGTATTTTATTGTTTTGGGTGCAGTTTTAAAAGGGGTTGTTTCTTTAGCACTGTTATTCTGAGCTCTAATTTGGTGAATTAAGTCTGCCCTAAAGTCAAGTGTTTTAAATGTTACCGTTTTACACTCAGCCCTTGGTTTACATCATTCCTTCACAAAATAGGAAGAAAAATGAGACTTAGGTTGGGACCAGATTCATCCAGTTATAAATGCTGAGGTCATGGGGAGTTGTTACACATCTCTACCTAATGCTGACACGCCTTCTCTTGGAGAGCTTCTGTTCTGAGATGAAAATACTTCAGATGTTCTGTTTCTTCTTCCATTAGTACTAAGTCCTGTGTTTGGTCACCTGAGGCCTTCGAGACTCTGGAGAAGGAAAGAGCACAAGGGGAGAAAGTGGCCTGGGTTGACTTAGTCTCACCATTAATGGAGAGCTGTCTCTGACCACTCACAGGGCCATACTGGAGGAATGGTAGCTGCCTTGTGCAGGTCAGTGCCCGCTTACCGAGGAGGGAGGAGAGCCCCAAATGGGATTTACAAGTGTTCCAGGGTTTACTTTCCACATGCAGTTTGCCCTGTTGACCTAAAGTCTCAGTTGGTGGCTCATGTCACCTTCATTTCAATTTCCAGGGGAGCTGCTGAGTACAGATTTCATTTGCCAAAGTTCTCAGTACTGTAAAAGGTCAGTCTCTTCCAGAGAGTCCGGTCCTAGGTCAGAAGGAAGGCGTCTTCGTGAAGGAAGGGCCTCACCTAACAGGATTAGTGACGGGCAGCACCGTGCCCAGTCAGGAGACTCACAGACCAACTAGCGAGATTCACCCCTGGCTGTGGAAATTAGTTGAGGGATAGTATTTTGGTGCTTTAAGACATCAACTTGAGTAAGTTAGGGATGTACCTGTTCTTCCCCAACCTGACATATTTCTGAGTGTGTGCTTGTCCTCAGATGTAATCGTGGCCAGAGACTTGAGAGTTAAACAGATTTCTTTACCAAACAATTCTCAGAACCCTCATAACAGTATGCGCAACGTGAGTTTAAGATTAGGAAACTCCAGGATGCAGTATTTCTCAAACAGTCGGGACCAGTGAACCCTTTATTCCTAGAATCTTGGGAGACTAATGTTGCAACCCTAACCCTCTTATCCAGAACCTGCACCAGTGGCACCCTTACACCTCGTCCTGGGACCAGTAGCACCTGTTAACACTTTGCACTCATCTGTGATGACAGGGAAATCTGGATTCTTTCCTTGAAGAATGTGTCCCTTATGCTCTTCTGTGTGTGTTAAACTACTCTTCCTAAATGAAATGGCAGTGTTAGTGAAGAACAGTCATATTTTAAATATCTTTTCTTAGAAATAAATTCAGCACTCCATGGTACATACCTAAAGTGTTCTTTAAAATATTTTACTATTTTGTGAAATCTTGGGAAATTCTGGACTTAACAAATCTTAAGTCCATATTCCATATCCAAACGCCTATCATTAATTTTAAACTCACTCAAGTTATGTATCCCCAGCCATTGTTTCTTTGCTCAGAAAAACTTTACTCAATTCATTGTGTGAGAATCTCATCTGTTGCCAGGGTGACTGGTCCAGTGCTGTACGCCTCTCTCCCTCACAGCAGTGCTTCTGTTTTCAGAGGCTGGTAGGTGTTCACCTGGAGGTGTCTAGGATGAGAAATCTGGAAATTGTGATGCTCACGAGAGTTCGTGGGTTGGAATGTAGATCTGGCATTTAGCACAAGCTGACAGTTGAGGAATTTAAACTAGAAGACAGGTCAGCGGGACAGAACCCAAAGGCTCACTAGATGTAAGGAGTTAGCTTGTCAAAAATGAAGCGTGACCAGGAGCCAGGTGAGGCATGGAGCCTCGGAAGGGCAGTGCTGGCTGCGGTGTCCAGTGGTTCCAGTTGGCAAAAAACGGCGGTCGCATGGGGCCTAAGGAAGGATTTTGTTTTAAGCATTCGTATAGAACAAAGAGAAGACATGATCATTTAGCAGTTGAATAGATGGAGATCCAGTCATTATTCCCCAGGGATCCAGAGGTGGCGTGGCTACCAGCGAAGGCTGGCAGTTGACCCCACGCCCCCTGAGGTGGGCTTGTCTCCTGTGGGTGTAGCCTTTGTTCCGAGATAAGCTGGGGACATAGGCCAGACTCCTCCCTTGGGGTCTGAAGGGAGTGGAGTGGTCAGGAAGGAGGACAGGTCACTGAACTCATCACACTGCACTTGGGGCTGGAACTCCCATCTCCATCCTGCCTGATGTTAGACCAGCTCAGTATGGATCATTACTCAGGCTCCTTCTAGTCTCTTGAGTCCTTTCCAAGATAGCTCATAATCCAGGCTCTGTAATCTTAGGGAAAGGGAAGTTAGAATTGAAAACAGGAGTGCTGATGAAATAAGACACATTTTAGAGCCCAAATGAGCCTCTTGAAAAGAGCAAATGAAGGGTAGATCCACGTGGCCTTCCTGCAGGCCTTGGGAGGGGGTTTCTTCCCACATGGAAAGATGCGCTCCTGTCGTTTCTGATGTGTGGGGCATGAGGGAGGCCTGTTCTCCCAGAGGTCCCTTCAAGGACTTAGAAGTAATTCTAAGGGGAAATCAGTGACTAGACTAGGAAAGTGAACAAGCTCTTAACTCTTTACATAGACGTGTGCTGTGTGTCCACTATGTGCGAGATAAGGAAATGTGCAGCACTCGGCCTGTGCCCTGGAGGAGCTGAAGTTCTAAAAGGCAAGAGTCATGGACAATTTTAGAACTGTAGCCCCTGATGCTTCAGAGGGGGTGTAGGCATGCGTGTGGCCTCAGTGAGACCCTCAAGAGTGGTCGCTGGAGGGGTGGGTGATATTGATGTTCTGATTTGCTCAACATGCTGCTTGACAGATGGTGTTTAGTCTGGTTATAAGTGTGTGCACATCACCAGAGTTCTGCTAATGGTCCAGCCAAGTGGCAGAGGGCCCTGGATACACGATAATGATGGGGAAGGATCAGTTTCCCAGATGTGTTAAGAAGAGGAAAGCACAGCAAGTCGTTAGTCCTTACACTCCTTACAAAGAATAAGGGTTACATGGTTTTCCTTGTCGGGTGTCCAAATGTAGTTAAATAAATCAGAAAAGGGAAGAAAGAGTTGGAGGGGATATGGGAGGGTGTTCTTTAAGAACTCATGAAATTTCCCTGGCCATGGACCAAGACCACAGCATAGATATTACAAGCACATGCAGTTACAGCCTCACCAAATTAAAGGAGGACATAGCAAGAGATAACAGGGCTGGAATTTGAAGCTGTTTGTTCCTTCTTGTTTAGTTTTGAGGAGGAGTGGCCCCGCCTGGCTTTGGCTGTGAGCACAAGGGCTAGATAGACATCAAGGCCGAGCTGAGAATTTAGCAGGGGGGAAAGGCCCCGAGTCTTCACAGCGGCCCAGATAGCTGCTGTGGCTCCTGCAGTCACCCCTGCCTCCCTAGAAGAGACCCCAGGGCCAGTTCCTTTCCTTCTCTGAGTCACACTTAAGTTCATTAACACAGTAAATATTCTGTGAACAAAAGTAGACAAAACCCTTGCCTTTGTGGAGCTGACATTCAGTAATGGAGAGGATGAGTAATAAAATACTAAAACACAACAGCTCAGATGGGGAGAAGGGCTAATAGGAAAAAGCAAAATAAGGAAAGGGTAAAGGTTAGGGGTTGACAGGTGCTTCACTGTACACAGGAGCACAGACAAAACTCTTCTCACCTTGATACAAGGTTCCTTTTTCAGAACAGACCTCACTTTGCTCAAGCTAAGAGAATGATTTAGCAAAAGGGCAGGCAAGAAGAGGATTAGAGAAGTTAAATTAATGGCAACAGGTTGGAGCCAGGGGGAGCTCTAAGGCAGTGCTGGCAGAGGGTGTCCGGGCAGCCCACGTGGGTCAGCCTCTTCCTGAGAGAGGGCTCTACGTGCCCTGGTTCTGACCCCCCACCCTCAGCCCCAGGGTCTGTTCCACTTCCTGCGTGAGTTATAAAGCAGGGGACGTGGCACCCCTCACAGCCACTGCCCTTCCTCCAGGCTTTGGAAATTAGGACACATCAGGCACCTGCTAACGACTGACGAGCATGTGCAGAGCTCACCTTGCGGGTGTCTGCGGCGATAGACCAGTGCAGTCAGAGCTGTCACTTTCTGTGAGTCTGACTGGAAGATGGAGATTCCTGAGCACTGCACCAGGACAGTGGCCTGGCTGGTCCCCAGAAGAGTGCAGTCCGTTACGATCAGGACCTTGAGTCTGGGCCTCTCCACAGCCGCGAGGGCGAGGCCACTGACAGGAGACGGCCCCCACTCTCCACTGCCATCATCCCTGTTTGGCTGAAAATGGAAATTCAGAAGACCTGCCGGCTCACCATCAAGTTAAAGATGAATGCATCTGGAATTCCCGCTGGTGTTGTGTGTCCTTTGGGGAGTCATCTCATGGGGTCCCTGTAGAGCAGACTCCAGCCCATGCCTCCTCTCTGCCCACTGGGAAGCCCCGGCGTGCAGACAAGTGTTGTTGCTGTAATAACTGCAAAGAGCAGCTTGGTGATAAAAGAAAACCCTGTGGGCCCAGTACTTTTAAATCACCAGTCCTGAGTCATCCTGATTAACTTAAGCCCAGAGACCAAGAGGATTCCATCTGGTCATCAGTGTGATTTCTTAAAGGACAGGCATCCTAAAAATGCAGCCTTGGTCTGGCCGCCCCAGGAGGACCCCCCCAGGGCCGCTGCTGCAGGCACTCCCGCCCCCCTCGCCTGCTCACAGGTGTGGACAAGGCTGGTTAGTGTCGGGTGAGCGGTCAGGTTTTGTTTGCAGAGATGAACATCTGTCTTCCTATCCTCAAATAACCTAGCTTTTACTAGGAAACTGGAATCACATCTACTCACCCTTCGACATTTTTATAGTGAAACTCTGGGGGAAACTTTTTTTTTTTTTTCTTAATTCTGAGAAGAGATGCCTTAGGAAGGAGAGCCTCCCTTCAGCCTCACCCACAATCTCAGAGGCGGCTTCCTCTCCGCGCTGCATCCGGGAGGGGCGGCTCCTGCTCCGGAGACTCAGGCTCTGTGCCCAGGAAGGAGCACGGTGCCAAACACCTGAGAGCTGTTAGCCAGGAACGGGCCCTGGAGTCTGTGTGCTGAGCGTCCTTCCTCGGCACCAGGAATTCTTGGTAAAACCAGCCAGCTCAAAGGTAGCCGCGCCTGCGGGAAGAGTATTAAAAATGGACTACTCACTGGGTCTCTGCACCCTTCTGTTTCAAAATTCTCAGACCCCAGGAATAGCAGGATTATGTGCACAAGTATTTGCTTTTGGTTGTTTTTCCCTAGTAAGTGCCTGGAACCAAGCTGAGCTCACAGGTGCACGGGGAGCTCCTGGAGAAGGGCTTCTGTGGCCTCAGGCTGCCCAGAGTTGCTTCTGGGGTCTGGAGTGGCCCTGGAGGTGGTTACATTTGAGGCTCTTGCTCTCGTGGAAGGCCGCAGTCCCATGCTTTCCCCAGCTGGGCTTTGGGACAGTCCTGGGGCTCCAAGCCCACAGGATCGTGCACACTGAGGCCCAGCCCCCAGGTGGCTTATACCCTGGTAGCCTGAAGGGCACACTTCTCTCCAGGTGCCCTGTCCCCAGGCTGGCTGACAGGGGCACTGTACCCTGGCCCCTGAGTGCCTCTTCGCACTTGCTTCGCCACATCCTGGCTGCGAGACTGATGTAACAGTCGCTCTGAGTGGTGCCTGTTCTCTCAGCTCTGTGCCCTCAGAAGTGCTGGGCTGCAAGGCCCGGGGAAGCCAGCTAGCCGGGGTGGATGTCACCGCATGCGTTAATGGGCGATCTCTTTCTCCACCCAGGTTCCAGGTGTGTGATGGTGGCTGCAATCTGTCTTGTGGGTATTAATACAATCTTCAAGTGGCACTGTTCTCGAGCTGTTCTACAAAACTGGAGCATGCTGGTGAGTCCCAAAGTTAAGAGACTGAACAGTTGCTCCAAGAAGCAGCATGTCCTTGGCAGCGCGGTCGGGACCATCACACCAGTATCCCCTGGGAACCCAGGCCTCTGGGGTGTGGTGGGCACTCTGGGTTGATACCTGCTGGTGTGGGTGCTCAGGACCAGGGTCTGCTCTTTATCATCTCCTCCCACTGGCAGATGGTCCCAGGGTAACAAGTGAGCTCTGCAAACTCAAAGCACATCACCCAGCGCTTGGTCCTCGCAGCCTTGCTTTGTGGGGCTGATGCCTGAGCGAGGCTGTCAATACCTTTCATCTGGAATGAGATACTCCACTGAAAGGAATTTACATATGAATGGAGCTTTTCCTCCTAAGCCCTAAGCCTTTTTTTTTTTTTAATTAACCATTGGTGGAAATTTTCAGATGTAACTTGCATACTCCTTTTGATTTGTTAATCCAATTATACTGACTATAGTGCAGTCCTTTCTTGGTGACTCAGAGGCATTTTTATGAGCCTTTTCAGAAATAAGGAGCCCTTGGGCATGACTGAATTATTATTTTTAGAGGGAGGAGGTAATTAGGTTTATTTATTTCTAGAGGCAGTATTGGGGATTGAACCCAGGACCTCATGCATGCTAAGCAAATGCTCTACCACTTGAGCTACACCCTCCCCCCGGGGGCACAGCTGAATTAGAATGGAATCTCACCGTGTTCCTCTAAGCTGCCAGGCCCTCCTAGTGGTGAAGATTTGGGTGATATATCTGTCTCTTCTGTGGATTCCAGCTGTTTCTTCTCAGTTCTACTTCCAGCAGTAAATGCGGTCTTGGAAGGATTGTGCAGCGTCCCGAAGGCGACCCGCCTGCTGGGCACCATGTGTGAGGCTTCCAGTCTCTGGAAAGCTTGACCTAGAACAGCAGGAATGCCAGGCGCAAGCCAACAGCAGTTACGTCTGGGCCCAAATAAGGTGGCAGATTTCACCCCTACAAGGGGCTTACAAAGAAAAGATGAGTCAGAAAGGGAACAAGATTCCCGCTAAGGACAGAGAACCAGACGTCACCTGGTTTGGGGCGAGAGTGACCTCATGCTCAGACCTACACCTGCAGTGCGGGCTGCCTCCTCCCCTGGACGGGAAGCTGGCACCTGGGGGCTGTGTTCCCCGACGCTAACCAAACTCACCAGCAGGTGAATGTTTTCCCACATCACGTGGGGGCAGCCAGTGTACCTCCCCCTGCTTCTACAGCCTCCTAGCTGATCAGATTCCCTTCATGTCATGGGCCTTCATAGCTGTGCTCACGGTGTTCTTACTGCTGTTACCTCTCAGGAAAACTGTTTAAAAAGACAAGATTTTGTTTGGTTTCTCCCCTCCTCTGGGGAAGTTTAAGGACCAATTAAAACTCACCCATACAATTTTTTTAGAAGCCACTTAGGACAGTGATTTTTTTTTAAATTCAGTAAATGAACCCCAAACATCAGTAATTTGGGCACATGCAGAGAAGCCCAGACCAGAAGCAGCAGCCACTGGCGTAAGTGGAGACTCTACAGACGGCGGGCGGCGAAGAGTAGTCAGGTTCCAGACAGGCCTGAATGTGGGCAGTGGATGGGGTGGGGGTGCGCTGCTGTCTTCAGCTCTAGTCAAGTTCAGGATGGGGCTCACCAGTTCCAGGGCCACCTCTGGCTTACAAGAGTTTAGAGGTGGCTTTCCTTTCTCCAGATCTGAAGAGGTGACACCGCTTATGGAGACACTACAGAGAGGCCTGGACGTAGTGGGAGAGGGGCTCTCTGGCCACAGGGCTGGAATCCACGCAGGGAAACGCCTAGGTGGCTCGGGACGGGGGCCGTTGGCTGCAGCCGTGGGAGTTGCAGCGTTAGAATAGGGAGGAGTGTCTAACTGCAGAAGACCTTTCCTGGAGACTATAGACTGAACCTGTTTAGTCTTTATTACAGATACTATCAGCATTTGATTTTTTAAAAATCAAGCTGACAGGTATAAAATGAAAACTAAACCGCTCTTATTAATTAAAGACCTAATTATACAATGCCCCATGCTTACTGGGATTGGGATGGGACTGTTTTATATCTGGCTTTTGGTAAAAATAAATGTTAGAAAAACTAGGGGAAGAAATCGTTAGTAAATAGGTCTCATACATGTAGATGGATTGGGGAAAACCGAAGGGATTTTCTTATTGCCAGGAGAAAAAGCTCCCAAGGCACTTGGATAAACAGCATCTAACTTACCAAGTTGTATCAGGGAAGGGCAGCCAGCACCCTGACCCACTCCCATCAGCAGATGTCCCCAGGTACTGAGGGCCATGGACTCATCTTCTCGACCAAAGACAGCTGAAATGAACTGGTTTAGAACTGTGGGATGTTCCTGAAGGTGCCAGTGTCTTCAAACTGGGACAGTTGTGACCTGCTTCAGACACACTGTTGTACACACGTTCTCCCCTCGTTTACCCTGTGACACTCACGTCATAGCTGACCCCCTTTCAGGAGAGAGGCTCTGTGAGGAGGTCTGCTCTCTAAACAGAGCCTGACACGCCCCCCCCCCACCGTTCTATGTTCCCGGATGTGTTTGCATTCTGTTTAGAATGTCCTTGTTAATACATTCCAAAGTTTGAACTCCGTTCCTAGCTAAACCCCTTTCCTTGTTTACTGGGACCAAAATAGCCACATTTTGACCTTCTGTTCAGTCTGGGGACATCTATGGCAGTGTGGACACATTCTTTTACCATGTGAGAGCTGTACTTACCCAGCACAGTTATGGAAAAGCTCGGGAAACTATCAACTCTCACCCCTCCCTTGTCTCTTCCTTCCCTGATCTTGAACTTCACTAGATCAGTCTTCCTAGTCAGCCCCAGTTAACCGGGCCCCTGCACCTTCCCTCCTGTTCAGGGGGCCAGGTGGGCTGCTATGGCCTCGGGAAGCTGGGGGCACCTTCTCACCCCCCGATCTGCTTCCTGCAGAGGAAAGGCCAGTGTACAGAGCCCCATGGGGCCCCCGGGTGGGGATGGAGTCTCTGGACCGCAGGCCGTTAATGGCCCATCGTTCCCATTTCATTTGTCCTGGAGCCTAAGTGCCTGAATTTTTGCTGCGTGTAAGCAACCATGTCAGAGATGGTCTTAGGGAAGAAAATGGGCCCAGGTAGTCCTTGTGGAAGCCGGTCCATGGCCTGGACAGGGAGAGCTCCTGGTTAGAGTTCAGAGAAAGCCCTATGGGCTGGAGGAGAAGGGGCTTAAACTGAATTTGAGTACGCTCAGCACACATGAACCCTGCTGGCTTTCAAACAGAAGGGAAGAGGGAGGAATGTGGGTGGCATGCTCTTGTTGAAAGCAGACTATGACCAAGCTTTTGAGGGTCTTGAGGCACTGGAGAGCCGGGGGTGGGGGAGGTGCTTGAGGAACTGTCCTCTTGCTGCCTGAAGCAAAGGAGATTAGGAGTCAAGTGGACACATACCAGGAGAGGCGAACCAAGAAGGTGATGAGGTGACCCGAGAGAAGGCAAGGTGAAGAGTCCGGGTGTAGATATGTGGCCTTCGAAGTCATGGCAGAGCGTCCAGGGCACAGCCAAGGGGAGTGGGGATAACGGCCTAGGAACTGGCGGTGGAAACAAAAAGAGGCGGGAGCTGGCCATGTACACGGGCCCGAAGGTAGCCTTTGAGTTCTAGACCCGCCTGGCCCTGCCGCACAGCCAGGGCTGGAGGGGACGGCAGGAGCTCCATCGTCCTGAGCATGGAAAGCGGGGGCCCCGTGGCCGGCGCTCCTCCATCTGCCCGCGCAGCCCCAGTGCTGCCACATCTGCGTTCAGCTGTTTCCCCAGGGCTTCCCCCAGCCCGTGTCTGTCAGAGGCCGGCGACAGTGGGCAGGCCTGTAGGGTCCCAGAGCCCAAGGGACTCTGCCAAGTGCAGCCCCCTGTAACCTTTTCCAAGATGGGAACAGCCGTAGAGCAACGACTGTTCCTCAGAAACGGCTTCCTGGAATCGGCACACAGCTGGGGTGCTGGCGCGGGGTCAAGCTCGGGGATGACGTGGAGCTGGTCACTCCAGGCCTGACAAGCCGGAGTGCGGGGGGAGGAAACGCTTGGTCTCCACTTCCTCTAAGCTGGTTTCCCTCCTCTGCTGACAGACACTGACCGGGAGGTGGGGGGCGGGAGGGGGGCTCCCCTTGCAGTCAGAGGGTGCGGATCAGACGTCCACGGGGACGTGGGGCCAGAAGCTGGTGAGTGTGTGAGGGAACAACTGCTGCGGTCCCGGAGCTGTTGCCTAGGCCCTGACGGCACGGGGAGGGCGCCCGAGCCCGGGTGTGCTCGCTCCTGCCGCCCCAGGCTGCTTCAGGACAAACTCCAATGAGTGTCTGAGGGCCCTTTTTCTGCCACAAACCAAAACACATATGTACGTTTCCTTGTAACTGCAGGGAAAGGAGGTCCTAAAAAGTTTCTAGTAAGAGAGAGAGCAGCAGAAATTAAATACATACTCCCCAGGCGTCTAAGGTGGGGCCACTGATACTCTGGTGACGACAGGTTCCAAGTTCACACACGTCCGCACCTGTGCCTCCGTGGGGAGTCGGCCCCTGGGGGTCTTACCCGCCAGCGTCTCCAGCCCCACACCTTCTCCAGCCCCGCACCTCGGAGGGCGCAGCACGCCGGCTTGTGGGACCTGCTCTCCTTACACATCTCCTTTCTGTTTCAGGCTTGAAAAACCGCGCCCAGTTTTGATCCCGTCAAGACTTTGCCACAGCCTCTATCACACATCTGTTTTACTCGAAGAAAAAAATATAATAAAATGTTTTACTCTTTTACACTGTATAATTGTAAGAAATAGTGTGTTATTTGTGAACGCATGGTCTGACATAAATTTCTGTACAGTTTGGAGATATTTTCAAATGAAACATAAAAGATATCAATGATAAAACCAGAGAGAGTGAGTATTTTTATACCAAACATTTTAAGTATGACAGGATGGATGATCTTACACTGGGCTGGATCACAAATTTTGTGCTTGACTTTTGAATGCCTGTAATTAAAAATATCTATTTTTTTCCTCTAAAATAAGCTGCATGTTTGAGGCATGTTTTTAAATACCATTAATTTCCAGAATCCTATTGTGAATGTACAGAGATCTGCCTGCCTGGCCTGAGCCCGGGGGCATCAGCAGGTGGCGGTAGGCGTTAGGACTGCACTACCTACTGCAGCATTCCGTGTGCGCCCCTCCTAACGGGACAGCCCTGCAAGTCAGCCTGCCTCTGGCGGCTTCTGGCGCATGGCGGGCTCCCGCTGGGCAAAGCAGCCTTTCCTGCGTGCGCTCTGGGGAAGTCTGGCAGCCTCAGAGGTGACCATAAAAACTGTGTGCCAAGGACTAGGTTTTGCCATTTTCTTACGTTTATCTTCCTAACAGCATGGTCCTGTGCGTGCGCCCTGCCGACGCACAGCTCCCCCAGTGGACGTGCTGAGTCTGTCTCGCTGAGAAGGGGAGGCCAGCCCTGCCTCAGGAGGGGGCCAGCTTTGCCCAAGCCAAGTGGCTGCAGCAGGCAGCTCCTGTCTCCCAACTCATTTTGCAAAACCTCAGCTGAACTGAGCTGGTGTTTGAGTCTTGGCAGCCCCGTGCCAAAATATTTACAGCATGCTCTTGAATCCCACATGCTCACTGTGACACTACCTGCCGCACCAGCCCAGGGAGGCGGGTGCCGCGGTGGGCTAGGGAGTGCACACTGGTCAGCTGGCTTCAAGACTTCTCCAAGCCGGAGTCAGCCCTGTGTCATAAGCTGACACCTGTCCAGAGTCTGGGACAGCTTGCTCTCCCCACTGTTGTAGACGAGCCGTGTGTAAAAATATACTGACCTGAGGTTTTCAACTGCTGGTCACAAGCTTTCTTACTGATCTGCTCACTGTTGTGCTGAAAGTTTCAATGTTTTAATGACTACATGGTTGGTGTCAGGTTCTTTAGTTTCATTGTTTTCCCTTAGAAAGACGTGAAGAAGCTTTTAAAGGTCATCACAAAAAACAAGAAGGGCGGGGGTGAGGGGCGCTTACCCTGTGCTTGAGCCCTGCTTAGCCTTTCAGCGCCGCTTGCTTCCTGGTGACACTTCTGTACTCGATTCTAAGGAAAAAAGAGCAACTTCCACAGTCTACTGTGCTTTTATAAACTGTTTAAAGGTACTTTTCTATTGTCGTTTTTAAAAATAAAGTGCTCATTCCAGCTGTCACACCACTGCTTCGCAAATTCCTTTTTTGCAAGATCAACCCAGTGCACCCCGCAGGGCAGACCTGGGCCTAGCGGATCCCGTTCCCTCTCTCGAGTCTGGACAGAGCTAAGCACTGGCCCTGGAGCCAAGGACAGAGAGGCCCAGGGAGGAAACGGGTGGGGACGGGCGAGCCTGCAAACCACCCTCACAGATACTCTACTGTGGACACTGGCTGACCCAGACCGACACCTGAGGCTGCGGCCCTGGTCCGGCAGGGGGACCTCAAGGGAGAGTCACATACTTCTTTCTTGATGCCTTTTACTGCATTCGGCTGACCCCACATCCACTTCCACCTATAAAGCTTTAGCTCAAGACTTTAAAATCTGTATTTGTGGTTTTCTGCTGACTATGAGTAAAAAATATATTAATTGATAAGCCAGACATTGATAACCAGGACAATCCAGTGTTTTATATAAATCTGCTCTCACCAACTCCTCCTCCCCCCCAGAGCAGAAGGGGGGCCCACAGTGCTCAATTCTGACTAACGGTAACAACCCTAAGCAACCAGTCATCCTGTCGGGCACTCACGTTATTGGTTCTGTGGTTTGGTGCTTACATATCTTTTGCACAGGAGACCAGCCACCAAAAGCAGATCCCAGTCAGAGCCTTCCAGTACCCTGGAGCCCCAAATGACGGCAGAAACCACAATGCTTTCCCAGGCTTTGAAGGCCATGCCCAGCGTGGCTCCAGGATCCTGGCTCTGGGACAGCTTGATCCTGTGGCTTCGTCTTCAGCTAATCTGGGACCTTCCACCTCAGAGGCACCAGAGCTGGGCAGGACAGCCTAGAGAGCTGAGGGCAGCTCCCCAGGAAGGTTTCCTGTCCCAGGCCCTGAACAGTCACAGCCGTATGCTTTTCCACAGGGGTCCTGGATGGACACACGTGCGCCCCGATCCTAACCGTGCTGACCATCACTGGTCCGTGCAGGTGACAAGTCTGGACAGTATTTCCCCATCTAGTGTGAGCTCCAGACACAGCCCCGCTAGCCAATCAGCTGATGGCCAGCTTCATTTTGTCACTGCACTGCGCAGGAGCACTATCTTTCGGAATTAGGAACCTGAGATGAAAAGGCAGGTCTGTTTTTTCCTTCTTGCTTACATGCATATTGTCCCAGTTTGGAGGATCCAGAAAGATGACAACTAAGCCATCTTTTGTTTCATTACCAAGTAGACTCTCCACTGGGAGGGAAGATGTGCCACTTCTGAACACAGGACAACTGTAGCTGTACAACAGGCATCAGAAACCAAGTACCGTGCCTTCCACCTCTACAGCAGAAATACGAACTCGATTTGGAAAAGAACCTTAAAACTTGCACAGTGAAAGTTATGCTTCCAGTACAACCACAGATTGAGGCTTGAAATTCACAATACCTGAATATGTATCAGCCCTACTTTCACAGGACTGACCTGCATTTATTCCTGCCCTTCTCTCTGAGGGTCCCCCGGACCCGGCACCCCACAGCACCTTTGGGTCCTAGTCGTGCAGCCCAAGGAGCGTTCTTGAGAATGGAGGAGCAATGCTGACATCCCAGGAACTCTTGGTGTCTGTGTCTCGGTGACAGACAGGCATCAACTAGTTAGCTCCGAGTGCTCCGCGCAGACTCTCAGTTCTGGGAATGGGAGCCCACTTCCTACTGCATCCCCTGTCCTCACCGGGACGCCAACTGTCAGGTGAAACGTGCATTCTTACCCGGTTTGAAGTGTTGGCACGTGGGCGCTCTCTTACTCTTCCACTCACCCCCTCCCCCGTCACACCCTCTCAAAACAGCGAACAAGTACGACATTCTGAGAAGGCAGAAGGCCTTTTACTAGTGAGGTGTCACCTGAAGTCCTGGTCCTCAGGCTAAAACCAATGACCCTGATGCCGAAAAACCTATGCAGTCAGCTAACTGCTAAGGCATCCAATTAGGAAAACATTTAACACCCATGGTCAAGCTCTGCCACCGCTGCAGAACATCGCAGAACATCCTACAAACTTAATAGGGCCAGATGCTTCAATTCAACCCAAACGTGTCTTGAGCAAAAAGACACCTCTTAAATGAACAAGAAATGATGCTCAGGTTAAAAATATTTACCTGAATAAAGGAGCACTTTTCCCCTAAAACACAGGACATGGCTGTGAGGGGCTCAGCCAAGAACATTCAACATCTCACAATAGTCAAGTGCAAGGTAAACCTGCTCTTGGTTTTTCTGGAGCTGGTCCTGCCAAGGTCAAGCTACAGTTTACTCCATTCTCTCGTTAGCATCCTGTGCTTTTACTTAAAAAAACATGTCATGGTAAGTCTTTGCACTGAACATCCTTTGAGCCCTGCTAAGTTCTGGGTGGTTGAAAGTCACTGGGTTCTCACGGGGTTTGGAAACCATGTGGTTTGAGTGGCAGGAACGTGCTGGCCTACCCCCACTAAGGGCAGCGGGACGAGGGCTGCAGGCCTGTCCAAGGAGGCCTGTGACAGCAACTGTGACCCTGTCCGAGAGCACCAGCACATCTCTCTCTAGTGGAAATCCCACGATGAAGGAGATGTGCTTTGTTTCACAGCGCGACGCCAGGGCCTAATGCTCTGCTTTTCCATTCTACATGACAGGACAGGGGCAGGGTTTCAACATCCAGTTTGTCTGAGAAGTGGTTCCCAAGAGGTCCTTGGGCCTCCCTGTCCCCTCTGCCTCCTACAAAATACACCGGGGAAAGATGGGCTGTCCTTGACCCGAGGGCAGGAATACGTGGTAGGTCACCGTGCTGTCTCCACACAGCACTCCAGCCCTGCGACACAGTGACAGTGCAGGCCTCGGCTTGTTAAGAACAGTCAGTAAAACCTTACAAAACCCCAAATCATCTTCCCCACAAATCAACCATGTTTGCATGTGAAAACAGTAGCTAGAGGGAAGAGGGGGCACCCAGTCTCATCTTCTATCCCTCAGAAAGCCGTCATCAGCCGGTAAGAAAATTTGTTAAGTTCAAATGCCCTATTCCCACATTCAGAACGTGTGTTTTCTGCTAGTGACTCCAAACCACTCACAAAAGAACCAAGGGCGCAGGTCCACAGAGCCACCCCGAGCACGATGCAGCCCCACGCTGCTTCCCGCTGACGCTCCGCTCACCGCATCCACAGCCCTCCGTCCCCCGAGCCCACCATCACCCAGCCACGCTTACACGATGTGACAGCAGCGGCCAAATGTTCTGTTTTTACACTTTATCTGGGCCCAAATACATTTCTCTTAGCTATCCTGTAAAAGCCTTGGATGACTGATGAATTATAGATAAACGTGCTACACAGACTGTCTTCAACTTTTAATGCGCCCAGCCACGCCCATTCCAGCCTGCTTTCAAACAGCCAGCCGATCCAGCAGAAATGGGCAGAGAGGAGAACGTGATTTCAACTTGAACTTGAATTTCTGGTGGATGTGTTTCTAGGTACCCAGAAGAACTGGTCAAAGATTCTTCTTTCTATTATAATCTTCAAAACACAACGGGGGTTCCTATCACAATTTCCCACAAAAACTATCATCCCTGCCCACCCGCCACTGGAAGCCCCAACCCCAGCACCTCAGCTTGGGGTACAGGAGACATTTCTCTTCCATGTAGTAGGCGAAGGGGATGATCAAGTCTTAACACGAGAAAACACAAGTGAACGAGGTAAGACTACAGAAACGACACACATCACAATTTAGCAAGAT